TGTGTGTGTGTGTGTGTGTGTGTGTGTGTGTGTGTGTGTGTGTGTGTAGGTTAGCCTAGCGTGTGAAGTGTTCTCTAGCAACCTAATGACTGTTTTCTCCACTGTTTATAATAAAATTTTGGTTAGAGTGGCACGGTGACTCCACACGAGTGCTAAAAGAATTGGACTGGGGATCATGTAACTCGAGGTGTTTTTGCTCTACATCCATGACATTTACAGCTATTATTTTTCCCCCTTTTTTTTGGCCATATCAAAGATGAAGTGAGACATTTACTGGTCCAAATAGCTCAGGACTGCCACCCAGGGCCCTGGCCATGAGGGAGTCAGGGCCATCCATACACACTTGGACACGTCTTTCCTCTGGCATCTCTAAGTCATGTATAGCAGGAAATCCTTATGTTGGCTTTTAAGATTGAGTCACTGCAGAACCCTAACTTCCCGACTTCCCTTTCATTAGAAGAACAGTGACGTTCTAGAGGTTAAGGACTGGGCCAAAGCTTTTTGCATATGATGTGTGACAAAGTTCTCCAGGTGTTCCCTGAACCCTCTCCTTCCAGCTTTTTCTAAGAATGTCTAGGCTCAGAAGTGAGGTGCAGAAGGTGGGAAAGAGGCCAGTCCTCCCTGCGGTGCTCTCTGTTTACATCACAAGGACTGGGTGTTGGGCTTCCTGGCAACCTGTAAGAGTTTCAAGAGTTAGGGCTGAACATTTTTTTTTGCCTGCCTGAATCCAGCACAGAGGGTGGCCCTTCTAAGCTAGTGGCATCTGCTGCTGCTCCAACTTACAAATCCCTGAGCTGTCCCATTTTCACATTTGTGTGTGTGTGTGTGTGTGTGTGTGTGTGTGTGTGTGTGTGTGTATGTATCTACAGCTACAAATTCAGGTTTAGTTTTCTTACTTGTTTAGCAGCAAATGAAATAACTCCCTAAAGTTAAGGAGTGTGTAACACAGGTGTGTGAATGAAACAGGAGATATTCTCATCCTAATACTTGGGATAGTGTGTAGGCATGGGTGGGTTGGGATTCATGGTGTCGGAGCCGGGGGTGTTGAGTAAAGGAAAGTGGATAATTACAGGAGAGAAAGGCAAGGCTGCATGGGCCTTCTGCCATTAGGGCAGCAGGAAAGGGGAAAGGTAAGGGAGGCAGTTTGCAGAAGAAATTGCTCACCCTTGGCAAATGCGCTAGGTCTCTCCCAGATAGCTCATCGATTAGAAGAGAACTCTTGTGATTCCTGAAAGGAACGACCCCTAGCAGACAGTTAGACTATAAATTGTTATATTATAGGTTACAAGTAAATTTGGGTGCCTTGGTTTTTAAACCTTTTCCAGCTTAAGGTTTATGGAGGTTTCTTTAGTAGATGGTATATTTATCTGCAAATATTATTAAATACGTGTGTTTATATATAGTGTGTGTGTGTGCGTGTGTGTATGTGTATGTGTGTGTATTTCCCTTGGTTATTCAAGCATATTTATAATAGGTTATGACTCAGAGGAGACAGTCAGGGGCCGAAGGAAAGCATACGTTTTTGTTTTTGTTTATATTTTTCTAATTGTTTTAAGAGGTCCCACTAAGCTAAGCCCCAGCCATCATTCATCTTTTCCTTTTAGACAGGGTCTAAAACCTTAAATTGTCCAGGATAGCCTTGAACTCACTATAAGCCAGGGAGACCTTGGTCTCCCAACTCCTGTCTCAGCTTCCTGAGTAGCTGAGATTACTGTCCTACAATAGCAGGACTTTTTTTTTTTTTTAACTTAGTTTATAAATAAGATTACCACTTAAAAGTATCTTCTGCTGCAACCTTGGATGAGCAACATAAATTGAAAAACAATCTATGCTGGTTTTCTCTCTTGTCAGCAAACTTTCGTATTTATTAGAATAGTAATATGATTATATGTATGTGGAAAGTACTCAGTCTACTTATATATACATATATGATACATATATATATAATCCACAATATTATTTTTGTCAAAGTTATATAAATATAATATATACTTATATATGCTATATTTATAATCTATAACATATATAATATATATTATGTATAATATTCACACCAGGTACTTTCCACTTTATTGTTACTGTTAATTAAATTAAAAAGCATTCCCCATAACATTTTCCCACCCCCAAATCTGAAAACTGTTACAATTTTCTTGAAGGTTTTTCATGCTCTAGAAGCATCCCACCTTCCTGGTAGAATGTAGACACTGGACTAGACAGTCTATAGAGTCCTTTTTTTCCCTTTCTATGTAATGTCTTTTGTCTTTCCGCCCCTTGTCACTACCCACTTCTTCATTCCCAACTGACCAGCAGTTACTCTGAAATTATCAGGCTAGTTTACCCATTAAAGTATTTAAAAGTGGACTTTAAAAGAAATCCATTCACCACACTAGTGACCCTTCGCTGGGATTCCACTGGCCCCTGTGCGGTGGTGTCTGCCGCTGGCTTAGCTGTTGAGTTCCGTGGTCTCCTCCATCTCATCTGGATTTTGGCCCATTTTTTTATATTGTCTTTTGAAGAAGCCAAGCTGTAAGACGAGAACGTAGCCAGTTACCACCCCGTGATTACAGTCGCTAACCAGCAGACACATGCACCCATATCACACCGTGGCCCCCAAGTACCGACAATTAAGAAGAATGACGTTACTACCTACGGCTTACTCAGCAGGTGCCTTTGCCCTGCTTCGCTGCACACTCCCGGCAGCTCCTCTGGACGGCCTGGAGTTTGGGGGTGTGCACAGCCACTGGCCAATGTCTTCACACCCATGTGCTGAGGAACACTATGCCCAGAGAGTGAGGTTTCATTGTGTGAAACTGAGTTTCTGTCATTTTATTTATCTAAAACTGAACAAAATGTTCAGGGTGCTGGAAGATAGGGAAGCTAAAACAAAATCAAAGTCCTTATTGGTTTTCAAAGACTTGAGTAAGAAAGTACAAACAATCATGGATTTTTTTCCTGGATGGCAAGAGGTACCATGCCTCATTCAAGTTGCTGTTTTGTAGGGCAACTCAAAATGGGGCCCTTCGGGAGTGCCACATTTTAGCCATGATAGTTTCTTACCTTCCACAAACCTGCAACCACCGCTGACAGCAAAAGGATCCCAGCAATTATGCTTCCAATGATAACTCCTGTTGGTACTTCTGCCTTCTCTGTGGGTTTCATTATCATAAGGGGAATCTGTGAATAAATACATGCTTCAAACTGAGTTATCTGTTTAGCAGAAAAATGAAATGCCCAAGGCAATACAGCACTTTATAAAAACCATCCACAGTTCTAGAGGGGAGTCAGCTCCCCATTCCTCATGCATCATGAAGAGCATGTTGTAGAGAAGATGACCTGAAGCCTCAGGTGAGCACAGTCTTTCTCCCCTCTTCCTCAGCTGCATTGGCACCCTATGGCTATACTGAGCCGAAGGTCTCAGATGATTTTTTTTTTAAAGTAGGCCCTTCAGTTTCTGGTACAGAATTTTGTGATCAAAGGAGACCAAAGCATCCTAGGAAGGGGCCAAGTGTTGCCTCTTCCAACCTCTCATTCAGTCAGTTTGTATTAGCATTTAAAGTACTGATTTCAGTCTCACTGAAGTTTGATATAAAATACTGAAAAGGTAGAACAGATATCCCAGGGGTGATGTTGACATTGTCAGTAGTCACATTGCCCTTGAGCGTATGGATGATGCCCACATCCCATGGCGATCTTGGTGGCAGTGGCAGCCCCAGGGGCCTGAACAGTGACACTTGATAATCTTTTCCTTAGTTGAGAAAAAGGTCTTCACAAAATAGTCTTAAAGGGTTACAGAGCCAAAAGGGACAAAAATTAGCTTATTTACTTGATAGTAAATTTACTTGATACTTAAATTATAGACTGCAGTGACAGACAAGCTACTTTTAATGAGGTAGGATAACTAGAGAGCCCCGTCAGTGACCGTGTTTCCCCTTGTTTGTATTGAAAGATCTGAAATGTTCTTAATAAAATTACTATAAATTTATGCAATTCACTGCTATGTAGTAGCTTGGTCCCAAGGTTCTCTTCCTGAGGTCACCGATCTGGGTCTCCCTGTACCCTTGAACACTTTTCGTGCATCAGATTTTGAAGTGGGCCTGGGTGTCTTGATGTAGGGGTTTGCCAATATATGATTTGGATTCCAAGTAGTCCTCAAAAGATGATCTAAATTGTTTGGATTATGGAATAATTTCACAGACACACATAAGAAGTCAGCCTCTGCTATTAGTATTACTAATAGAAAAACCAAGAAAAGAAAAAAAATCTGTTTTGTTCATGAAAATGAAACTTTCAGTTTTCAATGAATACGTCCAAGGGCTACTTTTATGAAAGAAAGATGTTAGCAGAGTTCACCTATCACTCGAATGCTGGATCTTCCTAAAATGTGCTTTGAAAACAGTCTGTATTGCTTTCTCCCATCCCTGGGTTTGCAGCAGTTCGAGTTTGGAGCCTGTGCTTCCTCTGGCTCTATTTCCGGCTTTCCATGCCCAGCCTCTGAAGAGAGGGTGTGGGCTTTCATTAAGGTTCCCAAATCAGAGGCAGAAAAGCTGCCTCTATTGTGTGGATCATTTTTTTTTTCTTTTCTGGGACAAAAGTGGGATGGCAGTGTTGTGAACTCAACACAGGCATTGAGAGAAGCCCAGAGTTCATGGGGCCCTTTTTCTAACTGATCTGTAGGCTGGAGCACTGGACAGAGGCCAACTGTCCAGCTGGCCTTGGGGGCAGAGTCGTGAAGTAGCTTCCAGTTCTTAAACAAAAGCATTGGGAAGAAACTGCTTGGGGCCTCTGCCAGTAGATTAGCTGGGCATGGAAATCCTGCTATATCTAAAAATGGCACAGGCTAACCAGAGGCTCACTGCTAAGGAAGGTTGCCTGTGCCAGTCTTTGGAACAGACAGCCTTTGTCTTGTGTAAAAGGACACTTCTCCATAGCACCCCCACCCCCCTTTTAAATGAAGGGTTAGGTTTGTAGTTCTCTAGAATGCAAGGTCATGAATGGACATGTCATATAAGAAGTACTTTTAAAAAGTTGAATACATGACTTATTTACACATTCTTTTACAGTGTTCTAGATTCAATTTAGGATTTTAGTCAGGGTAACTTAGGTCTTATTTCTCAGATCCCAGTGGCTTCTCCCAGCACAGGAAGCAGTGGTAATGCTGCTTTAGGCATGGTGTCTAAATATGACAGAGCCTCTGTTTGTGTCTCTTTGGAGAATCATCACTTTTAGAGAGCTATGAGAGGACAGGAGGAAGGCAAGTGTTTCTGGACTTTCTGAGTCGCAGACAAGACACTCTTATTAGATCTCAACCCAAGAAAACCGGGGCTTTCAGCATTTCAGTAAGAACCTTCTGCCTGCACACAGATGGGAAGATGACTGTGTTTCACACACTCGAATGTCTGTCGCAAGGAGGGATGCGTCACAACTCACCGTGACGGTGCTCTCCTCAATCACGTACAACTGAGGGTTATGCGTATCGATCTCCGCTGCTGCTGTCAGCTGCACCGTCTGGAAACTCGACTGGAACACAGAAGGAAAACCTTTTACCCTTGCAGCAGTAGCCACAGAAAACCTGGGATGTTTAAGATTAATTTGGTTCCTGGCGCCCAGGCCTGAAGGTTCAGCCCTTTGCATGCCTGTACTCGCTGCATGGGCCCATCCAAAGCTGCTGAGCAGCCTTTGACATGGGCAGTGACTGGCGCCTGCCTCTGCCAACTAAACCAAACCTCAGGGTGGCGACCAGACAGGAGCCTTGGAAACACCTCTTTACGTTATTCAAATTTGAAAAGGATTTAAAAGGAGGCTTACAAGACTTGTTTTTAAAAGGAAAAGCTTGTCACTAAAATTGTTTTCCCTTAAATTTAATGAAACAATACAGGAAAGAAAATTTCGCAGGGTATTCTTTTATCTGTGCCTGATCAAGACACACAGTGAAATGGAAAAAGCAGCATTTGAATTTCCACTTGGGTGCACATGCACAAAATGTCACTCTCTAAAAAATATACCTGAGCTTGATGATGGGTGTTGGCAGCAGAAACCCTGAGCCTCCTGACATGCTGTACCACATTCAGAATGACTTCACGTGTCCTGATCTCAGTGTCTCTATCAGATGATGCTGATGCATGAGAAGGACATGCACGTTTGCTGATGCTACGTGTAAGGCTATAAGATAAGTTTACACGTTGCCGTGAATGTGTTTTCGGAAAAAGTCTGCTCAGTGAGAACCTGACTGATGGCAGATGTCTTGCTGTTTGCGCTTGCTATACAACACAAACAAATTGCGGGCTTCATGGTTATGTGAGCTGGAGCCCGACGTGAAGATTTCAGAGCCATCTTCACGAGCTGCGGCGATGAGTGCCCCACTATTTTGGTTACTAGGGTACGACATCTTCATGAAGCAATTTGCAGGCTATAAGCAGGAGCCAGCTAGAGAGAATGTATTTCCAAGAAGTGAGCAATCTGTTTCCTTTCTGCTGGCCCAGTCTCTGGTTATTCTTAATTTCCTCAAGATGGATGATTGCATCATACATTAACCCTAAACCCTGATCTTTTAAACATATGTTATAGGTGAAACATTAAGAGTAGTTACGTGTGTGTGTGTGTGTGTGTGTGTGTGTGTGTGTGTGTGTGTGTAGAGACGGCTCAGTGGTTGCGAGCCCTTATTTCTCTTGCAGAGGACTCCAGCTTAGTTACCACCTCCAATCACAGGAGATCCAATTCCCTTTCCTGACCTCCAAGGACACCTATATACATACATTACACGCACATAAACTCATGTATGTATGTATGTGTGCGCACGCACACATACAAATGAATTCATTTTTTAAAAAATTTGATGATGATAGAAATTTAAACAAAAAGTTGCAGTGAAGCGAATGCTGGGCTGTAGCCCTGCGGACTGGGTGATGAAATAATTGGCTTCCCACCCAGAGCTGGCTGGTTTCACATACACTCAGTGCCCTGCAATGTTAACTAGTACAGGCAGGTGAGCAGCCAGCATGAGGTGAGATACCTGAAACGTTAGGCTGACGTGCACTGCGTCAGCAAAGGGAGTAACAGAAGTCTCCACATAGGGAGCCCCATGGTGGGAATGAGACCCGAATCTCAGACTGGACTTAGCATGTACTTGGCTGTTAAAATAGAGGAGAGCGAGGCAGAGGTAAACAGTTGGCCTCTAGTAGGTGGAAGTCATGCTGGGCTTGCTTCACACCCAGTAACTCTGAACCGTGCTTTCTCGCTTTAACGACCATAACTATTGTGGAAAACGATAAATTCTCTACTGCTTAAGAACTTGGCTCCCAGAGGGGTGGGGTGGGGGGGAGAGGCTGCCTCTGAGTCTGTTGAGAGGCACATCCACAAAGCCTGACAGTTAAAATTGTGTGGTGTCAAGCAAACTCTAGAAAATCCAAATAACTTTTTGGAGAGCTGAAGTGACAATATTTTGATGTGCAAAAGTCAGCCTTCCTTCTCACTTGGCAAAGTTTGTTATGAAAATATTTGGTCTTCAGATCTAAGGAGCCAGGAACGAATTGGTAAGGCTGAGTACTGTGCCACAGCAGCTGGGGACTATGGAGAGCCTGGAGCAGCAGCCCTCACACCTGTCCCAGAGGCTTTAAAGCCAAATCCCGACCCCTCATTCTTCCCACTTCCCCAGTTCTGTAATCTTTCTCTAAACTTTCACCACTTTTTTTCATCAATCTTATTGCTTATGTTTAGACTCCAGGGCCAAGTTAGGCAGGTGCTCTCTAATCTAACATAGAACTCCAAATCAGAGAGTGGGGATTATTGCTGATTTTGCAATGGTGAAAATCGAAGGACCAGAGTATAAAAAAGATCCACTGAGAGCCATATAGACCTCCCCCACCCCCGGCCAAAGATTCAGACTAAGATATTTTCTCAATAATCAGAGCTACTACCATTGGAAGGGGGACTAGTTAGTCATTCCTGCAGTCATGATCAAGGAGGCTGAGGCCTTCCCCTTCTTATGTTGCCTGTATTTACATTGCTCCTGCGATGTATTTACAAGCCTGGCTGCCCAACCCCTGCCCAAATGGTGCTGTGGTAGACTCAGGCCTGCTGTGCAGAGAAGCAACATTGACCATTCTGTTGGCGCTTTCTTTTCCATGGAGACGGAAGTAACCTGAGAGTTGTGCTCTTTCTGGGCTCACTCATCAATTAAAGGGAAATCAGAAAAGCAGAGGGCCTGCCTCTTCTAATAGAGGGAAATGGACCCTCTTGCTGGACTTGTCTTCTGCATGATTTAAGATCAATAACACTTAGCTGAGAACCCAAGAAGAGAGACAGAGGTATGAACATCCTGATTTGGGTTTGACTGCAAAAAGAGAACTGTGGGAACATCTCAAGAGAGACCAAGAAGAAGCTTTGTTATGGCAAAGACAGCAAAGGCATCTTTGGCACCATTCATAGAGATGCCACGGGCTGGTGTAGCACTGAAGAGGCAGACCTTGAGACAAGCTCTCTGGGTGATTCTCAGGCAAGGCCAGGCAGGGCGAGCATTGGAAAAGGATGTGAACCTCACCACCTAGAGTAGGGTTGTTCTGGTTTGCTTGGACATTGCTGACTGTAGGCAGGGTGCTAGTTCATCAAAAAGGACTACTACTCTTGGCAATGAAGCTGCACGTTCTCATGCCCTCTCCGATGAACCCGCTAGGTAAGGCTGATACTTACAGCAGCAAAGGTCCTGTTCCAAACTCTGGTGGTCACATTGATGAAGTACTCTGCTTTCACGTGAAGGTCTTTCAGCCAGCAGGTGACATTGCTGCACGAGGTGGTTCTGCAGTCCTTTCAGATTAGAGTCAATAGGAGAGAAAGAGAAGGAGGGAGGAGAGAGGATGGGTGTTACAAATGCTAAAACTTTAGAAAAAGATAAGATTAAACTCAGTGCTAGGAAGGTTGAGAACTATTGTTGTACTAGTACTTATAACTCTTCTTCAAGGGATTTTGGAATCATGTCTCAGAATATAAAGAGCATTGGCCATTTTCCCTGAGCC